ACCCTCATCTCCCTCCCTCCCCTCCATTCCCTTCTTTCCCTGCCTCCCTTCCTCCCTACCTTCTCCCTCTTTCTGGATTTAAACCTTACAAATAAATCATGAATTCAGACTCGGAATAAGAAATAAAAAAATACTTTAATCTTTTGCACATACTCTGTACACATAAACATGGTATGCACAAACATGATTGTTATGAACATATTCCAGATGTAATGACATTTCCATTTCAGTTAATTTAGAATTCTTTGCATATCATATACATACAAGGCTGTAAACTTACAAACTATAAGATCATCTGATTCGAATAACAGTGATCAGATTTTCTTCTTGAGGTTGGAAACATTCTTTTATTGCTACATCTTTCTCATAAAAATCATGTACCTTCAAAGAATATTGATTTATACACTGATAGAAAGTATGTCCTACAGTAAACACACACTGGTATGCCAGTTTGTATTGAAAAAGGTGATTTTGACATTTTCAACATGTCACAGAGTTCAGGAGTTCAATGCATATCTCCCTCCTTTACAAGAAGCTCTTGGCATCAAGGTTAATATCAAATCACATGACCACTTTGTTCATACATGCAGGCCTTCAGCATAAGACACACAAAACTTGGTACACATCTACTCAGAGGCCTGATAAAATACAACAATGCTATTAAGTATCGGAATAATCCTTGAATTGTGGTATGTACATACATGTAGTTGGTCCAGATATACATTATCACAACTTCACTCATTCCTGCTAACTTTTCACTTCAGGCAGATAGACAAATTCTCTTTCTGTTTATAGTATATACAAAGCATAAGGCACACAAAACTTTGGTACACATCTACTGATAGTTCAAATGGAAGAAGATGGAGAAAAAACAAAAATATTGTCAAGTACTAGAATAATTCCTGAATTGTAGAGTTGGGCCAGATAAACATTATCACAGTTTCGCTCATTCCTGCCAACTTTTCACTTCAGGAAGATACAACAAATTTTGTCTCTGTTTATAGTATATAAAAAATCATAAGGCACGCACAAATTGGTACACATCTACCGATAGCTAAAATGGAATAAGACAAAGAAAAAACAAAAACATTATCAAGTACTGGAATGATCTCTGAATTGTCGATGTACATACATGTAGAGTTGGGCCTGATATACATGATCCCAACTTCACTTATTCCTGTTAACTTTTCACTTCAGGAAGATAGACAAATTATGTCTCTGTTTATAGTATATACAAAGCATAAGGCACACACAAATTGGTACACATCTACTGATAGTTAAACATGGAAGACAAAGAAAAAACAAAAACATGAAACAGTACTGGAATAATCCCAGAATTGTAGAGTTGGGCCAGATAAACATTATCACAGTTTCGCTCATTCCTGCCAACTTTTCACTTCAGGAAGATACAACAAATTTTGTCTCTGTTTATAGTATATAAAAAATCATAAGGCACGCACAAATTGGTACACATCTACCGATAGCTAAAATGGAATAAGACAAAGAAAAAACAAAAACATTATCAAGTACTGGAATGATCTCTGAATTGTCGATGTACATACATGTAGAGTCGGGCCAGATATACATCATCACAACTTCACTCATTCCTGCCAACTTTTCACTTCAGGAAGATAGACAAATTTGTCTCTGTTTATACAAAGCATAAGGCACACACAATATAGTACAAATCTACTGATAGCTAAAATGGAATAATACAAAGAAAACCAAAAACATTATCAAGTACTGGAATGGTTCCCAAATTGTAGAGTTGGGCCAGATATACATTATCACAGTTTCACTCAGTCCTGCCAAATTTTCACTTCAGGAAGATAAACAAATATGGTCTCTGTTTAATATATATAGTATATACATCACCAATCACTCTGAGACGAGTGACTCCTGATGGGAATGGGTGCAGTTGAGAAAATATGAGTTAAATGAGTTTCTTCCAGGTGCATGTAAACTTTCGGGGCCCTACTGTGTATCCTCAACTTGATTGAACCTGAACATGCATACAATTAAACTACAACTTGGTACTGTAAATACTTAACAAAATTACAATCACAATACAAAACAACCTCACATTCAATCTTCCATTAAAAGCTGAAATTACAATTACATTTGCAACCAATCAGGATAGCGTATTTCGCCCTAGTTTTTGAGTTGCGTTTGACATTGCAACTTTTAAAGCAAGGGGCCCTCGTAACGGAATCTCACTTCCAGACAAACTGGCTCAAAGCAACTCCAGGTCCTGTTTCATAAAACTTGCTACCAATAACTAGTGTCACATTTTTATGACAAATTGGCTCTCAGCCTATCAAATGCAACCATTTCAGAAGCTTACAACAGTTATTGCAACTTGTTATTGATAACAAATTTCATAAAACAGGGCCCAGATTTCAAGTTTCTGATTCTTGATTTGTGTTAATTTTTGCAATTTACTATTATGAGTGCAGGAAAAAGTTAAAGACTTCATTAAGTCATCCTTCCCAGCTATTTCTTTCTGAATTGCTAACGATCGGGCGTTACACCTTGGGATACTAAGTAACACAATAGGTTGACCTGATGCTTGTGTAGGTCGTAAGAAAAGAATTATTTTTCAGTCCAGTGAAACAAACATTTACGTTGTTTGACAATATTATGCCAGCTATAACATTTTATCATGAAATGGAAAAATGTAGTGCTAAAACAAAAGTAAGAGAAAAGAAATCCATGAAAAAGTGTTTTTATTTGATTAAATGCTTTTGATTGTGTTTACGTTTAAAGTCATCATCTGTCATATAAAACAATTTGAACGCGGTATATGATTGATTTTTGTTTAGTTATATTCTCTTAATTTTGTTTGTTTGACCGAGTGATGTAAATATGGAATTTTCATGGTTTTAGATGTATATGTTGCGTATTTTTACATGAATGTATGCTATTGTCTAATAAAGGAATCCTGTGGATGAGGAGATAAAATGCTTGTCACAAAAGTTGCCATGGAGGGTCAACATTTGATCCTATGATCCAGGCTATACTTTATGAAATATATAGGGTTATGGTCGCACTTTATTTTGAGTTCAGGTAATAATGTTTACGGTTAGGTACATGTAATATGATATAATTAATGTGTATGAATATAACGTTGCTATGTTGTGATATGCAGTACATCGGATTTGCTGTTTCGTTACTAGTGTTAAATGTAATAACTTTATCTTTAAAGTAATATGGAAGGTCTGAGGTTGAAGTTGGAATTTTGGTTAGTGTAGGAAACCGACGCGGAACAACTGTCGCAGGAGCTCCTGTCATACAACCGTCTTGGAGATAGTTCTATACGATCGAGCAGCACCTAATCCAGCTGTGCGATCTGGATAGTTGTACACTGCCATTGTGTGGCTCTTGAAGGTATTATAATGGCTGTGATGTCCATCATAGGTCATCCTCCTCGTCCAAGACGTCATCATCGTCATCCGAGACGCTATCCTCCTCGCCTGAGATGTACATGTAATCCCACCTGAATTGATGTTGAGGAAAGAAGAAGAAATATAGGTTTGGGGGATAGGATCTTTGCCCTGTAACATATAAATTAAGTACCAATCCAATCAATCGTAAAAATCTGTTGTATATCCAGTTTTGCTGCAATTAATTGTTTCTCATTAAGCATTGTATTAACCTGTTACATAAAAGTAGTGGTAAGTTGCTATTATTTATTATGTTCCAATTTATTGAAGGAGATACATGTACAAACAATTTGTGATAATATTAATAGTAAATTTCAATGTTACAGGGCCTAGGCACCAGAGGCATGAGGTGGTATTCTAAAATTCAAATTATCTTTTATGCTTGTGAAAAAATGTTTCCTGTTAAAGCAAATATAAAAATACCAGTATGTAAAATACCAGATGAAAAACACCAGTATGTTACATTCAGGCCCCATTTCAAATGCACTCTGGGATAGTTTGGTGTCCAAGTCGCTTCCTGTCTATTTCACACATTATTTTGATTATGATTATGTGTGTGTGTACTCTATGTTCAGACAGTACACACAGTGATTTATCACGATTCTCAACGATTTTAAAAATGGATCATTACGTAAAAACGTATGAAAATATTTGTACACATACTAAAATTAACATATTTGGTGTTGTGATTGGAAAGAGCAAGTAGGAGCGTAGAAATAATAATGTCACCTTTCTTTGGTTGTGTTCATTGGCAAGAGTGAAACCTTGTCTGAAATATTAAAGGATGTGACTACATTAAAGGGTTCGTTGGCTTTTTAGATGACCAATGGACATACTCCATTCTGGTGGGATATTCTAAAGTTAAGCCTGTCATTTTCTTGAAGTTTCAAGAAGGTCCTTCCATTGTTTTAATCTAGACATCGATACGATTTGGAGGATCTTTCTCTTGTTTGTCATTGCTGCCGTCACCAAAAATAAAGAACCTAGATGTAGCTTTCAGAGACGTACCTATGTACATTGGCTCAAAGTTACTTCAGAGAGGCTTCATCTGTGCATTTTGGGCATATTGGCGATAGCGAGAATTTCTATGTAAAGCTGGCTATGTATTTGTACAGTTTAGAGATAAATCTGCACCAACACCTACAATTAGTCCCATTCCATGCAACCTCAATTTATGATAATTAACATAATTTTCACTTTTTGAATGTAGCAGACAACATAAGGTATAGTGCACAGAATACAACCCGAGAAAACTAAAACATATGTTTATTGGGGACACTTGTATATATTGTTCACAGCCGTCAGGCTGAATAGGATAGGTGCCTAACCGGCCTCATCAAGAGCAGACAGATCCTGTAATGAACGAATAAAACATCCACCATTTTTTTATACGAAAAATATCCTAGATCCTTGTTATTTGATTTAAAGAGACTTTCAAGATTGTTCTTAGTAATTATCGCTGATAAATAAATCCAAATTTAATAGGCTTAATTTAGCGCGAACACAGGGATAAGGGCACAAGCATCAATGCACAGTGATATACATGTATTAATCCACACACAGTATATACAGCATATTAAACTCTACATGCCCTGCTGTGGAAAGATCGTTAAATAGTACTAGAAACTATAGCATGCTTTTTCATGGAAAAACATGTAATATTCTCAGTAAAGGAATCACACATGACCCTGCTTAACCAATCATTTGATTAGGATCTAGGAGTAAGTTGTATAGCAATAAAATTAATTTGTAATTCATTATGTTTAATAGTTCACTTACCGTGGAGAGTCAGTGAGTGACTGCAGGAATGAATCAAAATCCGCTTGGTACTTTCCATTGAGCATGAAATTTCCATTACTGATTTGAGGAAAAGAATCCTGAAAAGAAATGTATGGGCATGCTTGGTGATAGTGATTCATGTAGTTTTCCTCCATTCAAGTCTGGCTGAAATACTATACCATACATGTACATACCAGGTCAGTACTCTCTCTGGCATATAGACTTAGTGTCCTTGTTACACTGACACCTCCTATACACCGCCCCTCCCCACCAAATACACACACATACAAAAAAGCTATGTTGATTGAACTGGTCAATATTTCAACAGAACTTTATGCTGACACCCCCTCCTCCCTTATCATGCACCTGTCCAAAACATCAAGAACAAAAACAAAAACTGTGCTTAAAATAAGTACACTGTGATCAAGATCTCCATCCTTGTTTAGTGACTATTCAATCTGACGTATCAGGGCTTGCCCTTAACTTTTTTTTGAGGTGGCCAGCAGGGCCACTTGGGTAGGAGATCTGGGTGGCCAAATGGATTTTCAGGTGGCCCCACTTTTATGCGTTATTAAATAATGCAAATGTTTAATAAAAAAATGCATAAATTATACGTGTTAAAAGCAGCATGAGCTGCATTTAATAATGAAAGGTGAGTGACTCTTTAGACTCTCATTCCAAATCCTCTCTCTTTGTTTCTATACTTCAGTCTCAACTTCACTTCAATGTTTTTCTCCCTTTCTCCTTGACTATCATGCATCACAAGGACCCCCTCCCCCTTAAGTTAGGATTGTACAGGGCACACAAGGCGCCAAACTTCTGCTTTTCTTTGAGCTCCAAGTTCTGTTGGAAGATATAAAATTGATTGTATATTTACTTGACGTTGTACTTCTATTCTGAACTGAATAAATGGTATTTTTGTAATTTATTATTTTGATATTTTCTGGTTATTCTGGATTGGATAATCAGTCAATAATCATGCAAAAATACATGCAGTTAAAGAGGACCACACACGGAAAGATTAGCACCAAGTCATTCAAAATAATTTAAGTCGGAATTTCTTCTTTTGTTCTTTTTTTCTTCAAGACAACATTTTATTGCACTGCATGTTTTCTTAGCATGGACAGTGAAGAACATGCATGTAATTATATATGGGCTACCCGCCCTTGAGTCAGTTAAAAAACAAACTGAAACAACTAAATAAATTAGGATGGCTGCAAATTGCCTTTTCGGTTTTGGCAAGGTACTTTCAAGGTGTTACCCTGTAAATAAAGTGATTAAATGCTTCTCTGTACACCAAGAAACAAACACAAACACATGCCAAGTAGCACCAGTCCTGTGGAAGAATAAGTTTTGGCAAAAAGCTAAATAAATATAAATACATGTATGTAAAAAAAAAAAAAAAATCAGGAAAAATGTTTCCTGATAAAATTTGAGGATCGATTTGAGGATCTGGAGGATCGATGATTTTCAAGTAAAGATTTTCAAATAATCAGCGATACAAATATAAGATGATATTTCAATGTAAACGTCTTGGATTAAAATTCTGGCAGTCATGGTGGAAAAATATATCAATTCCAAGTACATTTAAAATTGCTTTTTGATAAAGGAAAACAAATATGGTAAATGTCCAGAAAACCTCTTGTAATGTTACAAATGTATCCAGAGAATAACACCTGTATATTTACAATTACAGCTGAGTCACTAGAATTGCTCATTTCTACGTAATTTCCCTCGAAACAATGTTTAGTTTCCCTTGAAACATTGTTTAATAATTTCTTGCATTTCATCTTTTTTAAAGAGGAAGTTTGTACACTTAGAAGAAGAGCCACATGCCGGCGCTTACAATGGAAATTTCCACGTGCGCGCACGTGGCCATTGCGGCTTGATGATAACATCACGCTCTTCTTTCATTTATACTTCCTCCTGGCATTTCACTCGTACACACATTCAACATTTCAACTTCTTTTTCTATAATAAATACCGAGTTATTGCTTTAATAATGGAGTCTTTAATTATGAAAAACTTATATTCAACGTTTGTAGTCGATCAAAATTCTCAATTTATCCATGGAAAGTAGTTTCTAGCTGCAAATATTTCGTTCGGTCCGTACGTGTTCAGCACAGAATCACCAGGGGTTTAGGGCGAGTGGCAAGACTTACGGTTGTTCAGTCTTGGGTAGTATACATCGGAAGTTTGTGATTATCTATAGATGATCCTGAATGAATTTCCCTTAGATTTTTGGCTCAAAGATAGCTTGAATATCGCTTATAAATATACTAACATTGACTTTTGCAAAAAGTTAATTTTTATAAGAAAAAGATCGCTATAAATTGAAACTTTTTTTTACCGCTCAAATGTAGGCATCAAAGTCAACGCGCATGGATTATTTTCTCAGTTTCAATGAATGGCATGTCCAAATTTGGGCATTGTGTGACCCCGGGAGCACCTCCAGATTTTGATGTACACATGCGCAGTTTTTCAGAGAGTCACAGAAAAGCAGTGCCATGGCTGTCGCAGTGCGTTTCAAACGCTTGCAAAGGGCCAATGGGCGAATTAGAGCTCATCTTTACTGCCATATTTTGATTGATTCTACGATTCTACTTGTGAATAAAATGCTTCCAATATTGGAATACAACTTTAATCTACGGTAATTCTTAATCAATTAGTTCTTTCCTGCTAATTTTGATTTTTAATGAAATTTTAAAGATTGCATGTTTTTATTTCGACTACAATCACCGTTGGCTCGTACGCACATTGATGGCTATACGCGGTAGCATACTATGATAGCGCTACGCCTATGTACCGGCCGGGCCGGGGTGGCGGCGGCGGTGTGTACAGTACCTACACGACGGCGTGCATCGTTTTTATAAAGTTAGTATGATAAACAAAACATTTCCTTGTTTGATAGATCGGATTGCGTCGCTTGGAAAAGCTTGGAAAAGCTTGGAAAAGCTTGGAAAAATAAATGTCGCCTTGGTTTCGGGTAGATCTAAAGGTTAAACAAGTTGTTGATAAATAATTTATATATTAGGGCCTACTGTCCAAATATTTGGGTGGCCAGCCGGGCCATCTAGTCGGTGATTTCAGGTGGCCCGACAGCATTTCAGGTGGCCATTGGCACCGGGCCACCGCTAAATTCGAGCCCTGCGTATACTCTCAGACCCATGATGACATTATTCAAACCTTATGAATTGATTTGAACTATTTGTATCTATTAGTCTTTAGAGTACTTCAGTGATCTGTTTATACTGAAATTGTATTATTGCGTAACTAGTAACACAACACTCTCCCCCCCCCCCAAAAAAAAAACTAGATGGAATTCGACTGCGCGCAGTCGAAAATGATGCCTCCGTCATAGAGCAATATTACAAACCGAAACAGAAGAAATTTTTCGAATTCAAGTTCAATTGTAATTCATTAACAGGTTCTCAGAATATCGTGATTACAAGCAATTTCTCGTATACATATATGACCCTTTGATCTTTGACCTCATGACCCTAAAATCTACTCAGTTCATTGGCTCTGCAAGATGTCCCGAGTTAAATAGTAATCCATCTGTCAGTTCTAATAAGAATGCGTTCACAAGCTATTTTTGCATACATAATGAGCCCATGACCTTTGACCTTTGACCTTATAAACCAAGAATCTACTCAGTTCATTGGCTCTGCAAGTAACATACATGACCTAATTTTGGCAGGAATCCATCAATCGGCTCTTGAGATAACGCGATCACAAGCTGTTTTTGTATACATAATGTGCGCTGTGGCCTTTGACCTTTGACCTCGTGACCCCAAAATCTAATCGATTCATCGGCTCTGCAAGTAACATACATGACCTAATTTTGGCAGGAATCCATCAATCGGTTCTTGAGATAACACGATCACGAGCTGTTTTTGCATACATAATGAGCCCTGTGACCTTTGACCTTTGACCTCGTGACCCCAAAATCTAATCAGTTCATTGGCTCTGCAAGATACATACATGACTAAAGTTTGGCAGGAATCCATCAATCGGTTCTTCAGATAACGTGATCACGAGCTGTTTTTGCATACATAATGAGCCCTGTGACCTTTGACATTTGACCTCGCGACCCCAAAATCTAATCAGTTCATTGGCTCTGCAAGATACATACATGACCAAAGTTTGGCAGGAATCCATCAATCGGTTCTTCAGATAACGTGATCACGAGAACGGAACGTACGTACATATAGACGTGTGTACAGACTTACGGACAGACGGACGGACAACCTGAAAACATAATGCCTCCGGCTACTTCGTAAATGAGGCATGAAAACTCCTTAAACTCATCTCCACTGCTGCATGTGTACATGAATTCATCATGACATGGATATAGAGTACAAACACACATACATACCTGTAAGGTTGACGCCTTTGCATTCAGTGTAGAATAGAACTCCTCCTGGAACTCCTTTCCAACTAGTTCCAGGTAAGTCAGGTTTGGCATGGAACACAAAGCATCTGATAGGTAATGTGAAGAGGCTGATGTTGGACACTCAACATCTTGAAGCCAGACAGTCTTGACCTACATGTATACAAACAGTGATTCATACAAGTACATTACCAGAGTACACGTTTTCATTGAATTACTGCAAATATAACTGGGTGCTCTGATATACATGTATGTGTATGGCTATGCTTGGGTGACAAATGCAATGGGCTTTATATAGTCAAATATAGGATTAGGATAAGGGCTACAAATAGGTTTGAGCTCAGGTTTAGTGATAGGAATACTTTTTGGTGCAGGGATCAAGTCCCCCCCCCCCCCCCAAAAAAAGAAAAAAACTTACTTAAAAACTTTAAGTTAGTCTTCATTAAACCAAAATATCTTTTCTGAGGCAATCCTTTAAAAGTGATGTTTTTTGCAGAACATCATATTTTTAACTCGAGCCATCTGAATTCTGTATCTTACACTGCACATGAAAACCCCTCTTTTTATAATACTGTTCCTTTGTCTGCTAAGACTATTATACATTTTCATATAAAAAAATTAACACGTTGACAAAATATTGACAGCATGTTGCTAAAATATCATAACTCCTTAAATTCATCTCCACTGCTGCATGTGTACCTGAATTCATCATTGCATGGATATAGAGTACAAACACACATACATACCTGTAAGGTTGACGCCTTTGCATTCAGTGTAGAATAGAACTCCTCCTGGAACTCCTTTCCCCATAGTTTCAGTTGAGTCAGGTTTGGCATGGAACACAAAGCATCCACTAGGTAATGTGTAGAGGCTGATGTTGGACACCTAACATCTATAAGCCAGACATAGTGGACCTACATGTATACAAACAGTGATTCATACAAGTACATTACCAGAGTACACGTTTTCATTGAATTACTGCAAATATAACTGGGTGCTCTGATATACATGTATGTGTATGGCTATGCTTGGGTGACAAATGCAATGGGCTTTATATAGTCAAATATAGGATTTGGATAAGGGCTACAAATAGGTTTGAGCTCAGGTTTAGTGATAGGAATACTTTTTGGTGCAGGGATCAAGTCCCCCCAAAAAAGCTTACTTAAAAACTTTAAGTTAGTCTTCATTAAACCAAAATATCTTTTCTGAGGCAATCCTTTAAAAGTGATGTTTTTTGCAGAACATCATATTTTTAACCCGAGCCATCTGAATTCTGTATCTTACACTGCACATGAAAACCCCTCTTTTTATAATACTGTTCCTTTGTCTGCTAAGACTATTATACATTTTCATATAAAAAAATTAACACGTTGAAAAATTATTGACTGCATGTTGTTAAAATATCATACTAGTAACTCCTAATACTCATCTCCACTGCTGCATGTGTACCTGAATTCATCATGGCATGGATAAAGAGTACAAACACACATTCATACCTGTAAGGTTGACGCCTTTGCATTCAGTGTAGAATAGAACTCCTCCTGGAAATCATTTCCATCTAGTGTCAGGTCAGTCAGGTTTGGCATGGAACACAAAGCGTCTGCTAGGTAATGTGAAGAGGCTGATGTTGGACACCTAACAGATTGAAGCTCGACAGTGTGGACCTACATGTATACAAACAGTGATTCATACAAGTACATTACCAGAGTACACGTTTTCATTGAATTACTGCAAATATAACTGGGTGCTCTGATATACATGTATGTGTATGGCTATGCTTGAGTGACAAATGCAATGGGCTTTATATAGTCAAATATATGATTTGGATAAGGGCTACAAATAGGTTTGAGCTCAGGTTTAGTGATAGGAATACTTTTTAGTGCAGGGATCAAGTTAAGAATTTGGATAGTACAGGATGGAAAGCACAGAAAAATTGTTGATGGGCATGCGTTAAAACAACAGGAGGATCGACAAACACAGCCATAGTGCATTTTCTCACTACATAGTGATACAAACAGTGATTCATTAAAGTACATTACCAGAATACATGTATTTATTGAATGACTGCAAATATAACTGGGTGCTCCAATATACATGTATGTGTATGGCTAAGCTCAGTTGACAAATGTTCTGGGCTTTATTAAGTCACAAATATATATAGGATCCGCATGAGAGCTGCAAATAGGCTTTGAGCTTAGGTTTAGTCTTACGGTTTATTATAGATTATAGTGCTGGGTTAAGTTCAGAAATCGGTTAGTTCAGGGTAGTGGGCGCAGAAAATGCATCAAAAAAGATTTATAGGACTAAGTTTTACTATTATAGCCGTAGTACATGTAACTACTGCGTATTCATCTGAGTAATTGCATCCATCCAAAATATTTATGAACAAAAACAAACACAGGACGCTGAGTAATACCCAGCTCATCTTGAACATAACTACAATATGAAGGTTACGTTAATTTGCCAAATATATTTTCAATTTCATTAATTTACATATACTTCTAGATCAACATGTATGTTTCTCTTTATATAACTTTTGTTTACTAGCTGTCATCATGTGATGAGGCTGGTGTGAGGTACTCAACATCATGAAGGCAGAGAGTCTTGATCTGTACAGAAATTGAACGACTGAAATAGGTTTAACCCTATTTAGCCCGGGCTATTTTGAAACTGCGTAGCCCGGGGGGGGGGGGGGGGCTTCTAAGGCCCCCCCCCTATGATCTCGGCCGTGAAACGCCCGATCGTCGCGAAAATTTGCATACATGTCAAGTGAAGTGTATAGAATACTATGGTAATTTTAATTTTTTGAAAAATTCACTCATTAGCATATTTATGGTAATTTATGCAAATAAGGTCATCAAATTCACATTTTTGCCCATAAATCAGACATTATTCATATTTTAAGCATTCTTTCTCACTACATATATTTTTTAGACCATTTGGAATAATAATACAACACAAAACATTGAAAAACCAGGGTTATTCCTTATGTTATCTATTGTTTTGATAATTTTTTATGCATTTCTTTGTTTTTTTTAACTTATGTAGTTTTATTTTATTTCCAACTATAATTCAACTATTTGGATCCAAAAATAAACACCTAAACTATAAACAAGACCAAATAACCAATGTTTTATCTCTTTATTTGAAAAATGAGATTTCCATATGTTTTGTACACAAATCACAAAAATGAGCGATTTTCGGGCTGACATGCAAAGACAAAATGACACGTGACTTCATAATGGTAGGTTTGATTTTCAAAAAAATTCTTTCAGAAGATGCGCAAGACTCGAGAGAAAAAAGTCACAAAATTTCAGTGCAAGATTTTCTTGCGTTAAAAAATTATCGCGTAAAATGTCAAGGGGGGGGGGCTTCTAAAGCCCCACCCCCCCCCCCCCGGGCTAAATAGGGTTAACACTGGTTGATGGAGGGGGAGCAGGAATTTGTAAACATGTGGTCAGAGACCGCATCAATGAAAGGGTCTTGTTGGGGCTAGTATTTATTTGCACAGAGTAGTTTTCCCAATATTAGTCCTTTGTATACTTTTATAAGTTAAATTGAAAGATTAAACGAGAACTCGTTTGAGATTTAATCTCAATTATATAAGTAATATAAAATGAGGGTTTACGTTAAATGAGACCCCGTTAGTGCGCATGCGCTAATCAGCAATATTCGTAGATAGCCGAGGATGTGCCTACTGAACCAAGCAGAAAGATAACGAGAACTGTAATTAATAACAATACCCAGCACTAGGGAGGGTAAGGGAGGGACGTAAACCCTCATTTTATATTACTTATATAATTGAGATTAAATCTCAAACGAGTTCTCGTTTAATCTTTCAATTATACTACGTAATACCAATTTCGGGATTACGTTAAATGAGATTTCGAAGCTCAGTAGGCCATCCGATCCAGTGCTCAACACAAAAGAATATATTATTGATAGAATAGCAAGCTAAAGCATGCTGCTAAGAAGGTAAACCAGCTGACCTTAAAAAGGCGATGCCAATTCTAGGACATCCTTTAGGACGCCATGATTGCACCTATGAAATTGACGTTCCTGTTCTCTACTGGTTTCATGTAATAGTTTCGAAACGTCCGTTCAGAAGACCAGCCCGCCTGGGCTAGTATATGCTTGATAGGCAGATTTGAACTGTTTGCTGCTGAAGTTGACGCAGCTCTAGTAGAATGAGCTTTGTAGATGTCTGTGTCGATCCCTGCTGAGGTCAACGTTTCCTTCACCCATCTGGCGATGGTCTGCGTAGTAACGCGTTTGTGCGGTTTCTTGAAGCTGATGAACAGATAGCGTTCCTGTCCCCTGACGCTCTCCGTTCTGCGCAAGTAGTGCCGCAAGTAGTTAAGTACACATAACCTCCTGTCTGGTGGATATGCCTTCATTTTCAAGTTGAAGTTCACATTCCCCGGTTTTGTTTGCTTTAGGAGGTCCTTAAAAATGAACAGAACTTCGCTGCCCTTGATTTTCATGTAGTCAAGATGCAAGCTGTGCAGTGACTGGACCCGCTGGGCCGATATCAGCGCCATAAGTGTGCAAAGTTTCATAGTCAGAGTTTTTAGCGTGAGCGAATTCGCTGGTGCCCACTTCCGTAGATAATTAAACACTATGTTCACATCCCAAATCTCCTTATATCTTGGCGCTGGAGGGCGCAATTGAAAAGCTCCTTTACAAAAACGACTAATAAGAGGATGAGTTCCAACTGTACATGACGAATCCTCAAGTACTAGGAATGCAGACAAGGCGCTGCGTGCAGAATTTATAACACTATAACTAGCTCTTTCACTTTCAAAGAGTTCTGACAAAAAATCAATTACATCATTGGATCTCGCCTGGAGATAGTTCAAGCCTTTTTTATGGCAGTATGTCTTCCATTTCCTTATGTAAACGGCATAGTTCTTTGTCGTTGATGCTCGCCACGATGCTGCTATTACATTGATAGCTCTTGCACTCAAACCTTTACTTTCTAGTGGCTGGCGCAGCACCTGCAACAAAGCAAATCAAGCTGATTATTAAGCGGGTGTGGCTCATTTGTAATAGGCTGTGCTAGTAAGTTTGGCCTTCTAGCTATGAACATTGGCTCCCCAATAATCATACTCTTCAAAAGAGGGAACCATGGTTGGGTAGGCCAGTTTGGAATTACTAGTAGGCCTGTTGCATCATCGCATTTAATCTTTTGTAAGCATTTTGCGATGAGACAGAAGGGTGGGAAAGCGTAGAAACTTAATGGTTTCCAGTCGATTGTGAAAGCATCAACTGTTTCAGCTCCAGGGTCAGGCAGCCATGAGATGTATCTGTCAACTTGCTTGTTTAATCTTGATGCAAATAGATCTATTTCTGGGGAACCAAATTGCTGAGCAATTTCTTTGAATGCATCTGTATTTAGCATCCACTCTGTCTTGTGGTTAAAGTGTCTAGACATGTGGTCTGCCTCTGTGTTTAGTTTCCCTGGTAAATGGGCAGCTGATAGCCATATGTTCCTACTCATGCACCATTCCCAAATGTGTTTGGCTGCCTCATTGCAATCTGCAGACTTGCAGCCCCCCATATTGTTAATGTATGATACTGCGGTTACGTTATCAACACGGAGTAGTACATGCACATTTTCCATATCAGCACAGAAGGATTGAACGCCAAACCCCGCAGCAACTGTTTCAAGGTAGTTAATGCCATAATGCCTAGCTTTGTGCAATTCTTTTTCATTCCATCTACCACCTGTGCATGATTGGAGGTTAGTAGCACCCCAGCCAGCCCCACTGGCGTCCGTGCGCAACTCAAGGTCTGGTTTCGGTCTTCTTATTGGTGCAAATGAAGACGTTACATGCTCGACCCACCATTGAAGCTCACCCTTGGCTTCATTTGAAAGTGTCATTTTTCTATCGAAATGACCTCTGTTTGCTTTTAGTGCTGCAATTTTGTCTCTCTCTAAAGTACGATAGGAGAGAGGGCCATATTGGACTGCTGGGAAAGTTGAAACGATCTTCCCAATAACCCTGGCAACATGCCTTATTGAGGGCTCCTTAGTGTCAATAAGCTCTTGACAGAGGCGTTCGACTTCAAGCGCCTTGCTTTCTGGAAGCCTAATTTGCATAGTATTTGTATTCAGAACAAAGCCAAGGAACGTTATCTCTTTGGTGGGGGTAAGTACCGATTTTTCAGGGTGAATAATGAACCCGAGTTGTGCAAGGATGTCAGTGGTAGCCTTAACAGCTGCTTTGAGCTTTTCCTCATTTTCTGCAATGAGGATTGTGTCATCCAAATATCCTACCACAATGTGACCAGCTTGTCTGAGCTTAGAAAAAACTGGCTTTAGTAATTTTGTGAATAGCCTTGGTGCTGTACTGAGACCATTGGGCAGTGCTTTGAATTGCCAACATTGACCATTGACAATGAATTTGAGGTATTTCCTATCCTCTTGGTGGATCGGTACTGTATAATATGCATCTCTGAGGTCGACAGAGGCTAGAAAATTGTCAGGGGATACAAGATCCAGCACAGTGTGGATATTATCCATCTTAAAATGCTTATACATCATGCATTTATTCAATTCTGAAAGATCGAGGATTAGACGTACACCTCCAGTTCTTTTAGGCGTAGTAAAAATATTAGAAATGAATTCACCCTCTTCGTGTACACAGGGCTCAATAACATT